CAGTTCAACCGAATTAAAGCAGACAAGGGGTTTTCTCTGTCTTCAAGTAGGAAGAATTAAGGAGCTGCCTGCCCAACATTTATTTTTAGTTCAATGTTGCGTGGGTCTCGCTTGGTCAGGCTCAGGCCTTTTCAGTTCCAAGGGACAAGTTCAGATTGGCTGCCATCTTCTTTCAGGAAGGGCCCTGCAATTGCTGCTGCCACTAACACCATCCTCTTCTTGGGTTTCTTCGTAATTTCTGCTGCCATTTTGTGTTCTTATTGGATCCAAACTGTAAGTTTCAGTCAACTTTTAGCATGTAGTTTTGAGACTTTTGGGTCATTTTCTGAATGTTTAAATTTAGTTTGCCCTCAAATTTTTGTTTCATGTTTTGTGTGTCATGCAGTCCAATTTTCAGATTGGTAATTCTGCAAACGAAACCGTATTAATCTCCAACAAGTATCAGGAACCCTTTAAGGTGATTGAATTCCCACTCAACTGTTCTATTGGCAGCAATATTAATCAGACACAAACCTGCCCAACAAGCTACCCTACAACCTTTAGCAACCTTGATGATCTTGACTCTTCAACAAACCCGGTATGCCCGGATTATTTTCGGTTCATCCACCAGGACCTAATGCCATGGAAAGCCACAGGGATCACAAGGGACATGGTGGAGAGAGCAAAGGAAACAGCACATTTTAGGCTAGTGATTGTGAATGGCAAGGCCTATGTTGAAAAGTACAAGAAGTCCATACAGACAAGGGATGTGTTTACTATATGGGGCATTTTGCAGCTTCTTAGGAGGTACCCTGGGAGACTGCCTGACTTGGAGCTCATGTTTGACTGTGATGACAAGCCGGTCATCCAATCAAGCGACTACCGGGGACTGAACTCGACTCAGGTGCCGCCACTGTTCCGGTATTGTGGTGACAGATGGACAAGGGACGTTGTGTTCCCTGATTGGTCCTTCTGGGGTTGGTAAGTTTGAATTTTAGGCAAGGCTTAAAATTTCTGTGTCTTCTTGTTCTGGCATGAAAATGATGGGGCACCAACCTCTCTAATGTCCATTCATGTTGGAACGTTTCAAAAGTTATACTTGGTGATTTCCTTTTGCTTTAAAGAAAAATAGTACTTCATCAATTTAACCATACTCACTGAGATATGTTTGAGAATTGAGAAATTTCTCCGGGGACAATCTGTCATGTCACATGTCAACCTTGACAATAAAGTATAGGTGGTCCAAATTCATTGTCTCGCAACGTAATATACTAGATGTTACCGTTTTTAATCATGCTCGCTTATTACTCATAAGCTACATGCATTTTTGAAGGGCTGAGATTAACATAAAACCATGGGAAGGTTTGTTGAAAGATCTCAAGAAA